AGAGAACAAAAGAAACTTAGAAGGAAGCACAGAATAGCAAGATAGCTTTGAAAACATGTATTATTTATTACATAGTTTTAAAAAAAGTAAGCAGTCTGAAATGGAAATTCATGGTTTTATATTGAGTCCTCTATGATGTGCTGTGTACATGGAAATGGTTTTTTTTTAAAATTACTATTATTGTCTTTGAATCTTTCAAATCTAGAAGCTGACAATTTAAAACTTGAATCTGGTCTTTGTCCTATTCTCCATGAACTAGGGCAGGACAAGCAAAGCCTCAATCTTGATAGTAGCTTGTTTCTAAATCTTTATCTTTACCAAGTTTTTATACATACCTCATCACAACCAACCTGTAAGAGAAGTGATCACATATTTTACCACCATAGAAGTTTTTTGTTTTTATTTTTAACCATTTTAACCTGTTTTGAGTAGACAAGGAAACTCATGAACAGACCAGGCTTACTCAAAATCAAAAGTTAAGTGGAGAGCCAGGATTGGAATCCAAGTCTTTTGACTCCCTGTTCCAATGTTCCCTCCACTAGTACTAAGAATTACAGGCTCAGGAAGCCCAGAACTTGCTCCTGGAGATAGAGGAGTCAGAGGCTGCAGGAAGCACAGTTATCTCTTCCACATAATGGGGGTTAGGGGCATGGCACCCCTGCAGTCTGGGAAATCCGCATACAATTTTCTTCCCCAGAAGAAATCGGAATTATTATGATATTAAAAGATAAAATATATTGAAATTATGCAACATTATACATATACTTTATGTATTTCTGAGCTTCTAAACCTTTTCTGTGTCATCTGCTGGCCTTTGAGTTCATCTGTGGCTTCCACAAAACTCCCCCAAAATTCCCATTTAATTTCTTATGCCGACCTGCGATATGTTGAAATCTCAATGGGGAAAGCTGAGATGTGGAAGGGATAACTGGAGTTAAGTCTTGAAGTCGAAACAAAAGAACTTGAAACAAAGTAAATAGAAACAGTCATATTTTCAACATAATTTACTACAGATCTCTGAAGTGTTTATAAAACATTTTTAGTGCAACATCATACAAATAGTTTTCTTAAAAAAAATCCAACAGCTTTCCACATCATGCATGGGCAATGTCCTTCCTCCCCTCCTTTTTGCTCCAACTCAAGTTAATGCAGAAGAACCGTTGTTTGGGAAGAATAATAAAACTTTTTATAGAAACAGCCTGGTGAAGGAGGTCCTCATCTTGTCTGTGTCCCTTCGAAGGACCTAGCACAGTGTGATTGTTTCATAAATGAGCCATCATTAGTACTGCATTTATAACAAAGGTTACTTAACAATACATCAAAGCTGTTTTTCCTCCTTGGGACCAGGGAGGGACAAAGCCCCAGAAAACAATGTGAAATGAAGGACTGGGGCCACTGGAGGGCGCCATTTGACCATTTGTCTGAAGGACCACAGAAAGCAAACCATTCCCATGGAAATGGCTATCTACAGGCAGAGTCCTGTGGCCAGTTCCACTGAAAACCCACAAAGGCCAAGTTCACCCTTTGATGGCATCCCTGGGTGGATGAGATACACACCGAAGGAAAAAACAGCATCATCATGAAATACTGGTTTCGGTTTCTTTTTCAATAGCAGATTTCTTATGATGAATCTGACACGCTTTGTGCCATATAGCATCTTCTCCCTTTATCTAAGCGCCAATCAGCTTGAGGTGGCTTCCTTCCGAGCTACCACAAAATCTTGGAAAGAAACTGCTCACCCATCCCACCCTATAGCACCTTTCCCTTTCAGACAGAAAAAAGAGAGTCTTTCCCCACCCACCTCCAGTCTATTCTGGCTCCTTCTCGTAGGGAATCACCTGCCCTGAAATGAAAAAGAGGTGGCAAGAAATACAAATTCCAAAAGACTGTTTTGTTTCCCAACACAATGACAACTGAGATAATCCCATATGTTCTAAGTGCTGATGGAGTAGATAATAAAAATAAGCCAAAGGAAGAGGGTTAGGCAGCCAGGATGATTAAGGTGGCAGTGCCTAGGTGTTCTCTGAAGGTAGAGTACTGGTATGGCTGGTGCTAACCAGCCCTGGTCATGCCAGGCTGTCGGAAAAAAAACGACTACTAGGCTGATCACCTCACTGCAGGTGGTTTAGCAGAAAACAGGTGAAAAGCATCTAATGAACACACTGCTCCCTACTTGCAAATCCTGAGACCTCTGGGGCCACCCTGAGGGCTGAAGTCAAGGCTGGTGTGGCCGGAAAGTTCCTCAGCTATCTATCCTCTGGATCCTGCTCCTAGTTTAGGCTAGAGTTCCTGGAAACTTGTCAGAGTTCAGTTTCAACATATAGTGGGAATCTGGTGGGGGGGGGCAAGAGAAAGGGCATAGTGTCAAGGGCAGGAGGCAGGAGAGATGGGGTTCCTCCAGACTGGGGCTACTCTGGGATTCAGAATCTGGACCAGTTAGGGGCAGCCACCACCACCTGGCACTGTTGGTCAAGTTAAACAGGTGAAGAAAAAGTCTGGGAAAACATCTTCATGAAAAGGGAGGAGGGACAGAGGGGAGAAAGTAATTGAGTTCTCCTTATCTTCACCATACCAATGACCCAGAGTAGCAAAGCATTCTGTCTTACAGCATTAAATGGTAGGAGCATCATCCCAGATCACGTCTAGGAGGCTCTAAAAAATTAACCTTTTTCAGCAGGAAGACTCAAGGATTGGGCCAGGGGACAAAAGTCCAAGCTACTGCTAAATGACAAATCTAAAACCATAAAAAAAATCTAAGTGGGTAAGGAAGAAAAGCACCCACATACAATGGCACTGGATCCTTCTTCCGCTAAGACTAGAAAAAGCCAAGGTACTCAAGCTACTAAAAACTTATACTAGAGAATACTGGGTAATTTTCCTCTTTCCCCCAATCCTAGACAACTTTCTTCTGAAGATAGGACGTAGGAAGACAGATTAATGATAGCAAAAAGCAACGCTTATTTCTTGGGGGTTCAAATCGCTTGTTTAGGAATGAGTGGTGGTTGTTATTCACCGATGCCAAGCCTAGGAAATCCTTCCCCGATCCTCTCAATCTCCCACTCTCAACAAATCTGATTGGTGGGAGTCCCTAATGTCTGCCATCTACTAACTTGCTACCACATGCACTGCCTTTTTAGAGCATGGCTCCAGGCTCACCATATGCCTGGCCTCCTTAAAGGTCTGGCAAAGCGTCATAAACTAAAGTCTCATGCACATAAAGGTCACCGCCATCATCTAGTGACCAAACCTCATTGCTCAAACCAATGGGAATGGAGCAATTTTCCTTTTCCTCTCTAAGCCATTGACTGATAAAAATGAACTGAAAGCAGCCCTCCTTCTGTCTATGTTAATTTGGAGAAGGAGTGTTGTTGAACTTTGACCTCTTTGTCCTTGGCAAGCTCCTGGTAAAGCCTTTGTGGTCTGATAGGCAAGTTAGCAAGACAAGTCTGCTCCTAATGGGCTTCCGCAGGACTCCTTTTCTCTTGTATGCACATGGTCCTTTGAAGTAAAATTTGAGGCTTTCATCTTGACTACAAAGTGATTAAAACCACTCTGGGCTGGGCTGAAGGGGAAAAAAAACTACAAACTGGGCCTGTGCTACACACCATTTTCAAATATTTTTATGCAAGTAAAACAGCTTAGAATATTTTGATTCAGGGGTAGCTTTTTAAAAATGTGCAAAAGAAAAAAAATCTCAAAAAAGGCCCCTCGTCAGTCCAGTTCTTCGTTCTTTTTGCAATCATTTGGGGGTGAGGGGGATTCCATCCGTTCAAAAAGGCTGAACCAAAGTGATTTTAAGATCTGGACTAAAAACCCCTACAAACAAACCCCTAGAATAACCGTCAAAGAATACTATGAGTTCATCAGTCAAAGTGGTTCCAGGAAGTACTCACTATGTTCCAAAAAGAAATCTCTAACAGTAGGGTTATGACATCAGAACCAGAGTAACTAGCCAGGCAACGGAAATAAAGAGCAGAGGGGTTCTGCTGGGTGCCAGCAGCACATGTCTATCTCTGTCACTGGCTCGGGCATTTTATAAAACTTTCCAAGTCTGAAAACCCTCTGGGCGGGGGACTCCAGAGCCTAGCGGCTGCTGTCCTACAGTACAGAGGAAGGGAAGCAACAAAGATCCATGTGCTCCTTGATGTGCTACGTCCACCCCAGTCTTGCCGTTAGTCTATGGTTCCTGGGTGGATGCTGAGAACAGGAGGCTCCAGGCAAGTTGGGGAATAGTTAAGATGGGGTTCTTTGATCCACAGCAAGGGCACTCCATTCTTGCCTTCAGAGTTCTTGCTAGAGTTCCTACCCTTGAAACGGACCAGTAAGATGGTGATGATCAAGATGCCGACAATGGGGAAGGGGTAGAAGAACACGAAGTAGAAAAGGGCATCATTGGAGCATATGATGGACTGGAGCGTGGAACCTGAAAGGCAGTGATGAGAGAAGAATCAGTAAAAGGCATGGAAATCTGATCCTCGTTGGTTACCAAAGACAGTACTCAAACAAATGGAAACCATTTGGCAGAGCTTCCCGCACCTCCTTCTGTGTGTTATTTTTTTCTGCATTCACTAATGGGTTGGGGAGGTTGAGAATGACTTACCTGTTACTCAGTGACATGCCCTCTTCCAAATCCAGTGGCAGTTACTCACAGAGCAAGCCCACCCTCCCCCCAAGGAATGCTAAGCAAGGACATGGAAGTTATTGATTATGCCCTAATAATATTTACTATGCTAAAGCAATTGATTCCAACTCCATCTACACTTCCTGCACAGCATTATTTCTCATATTCCTTTGCACTTAGCTCTAGCAGTGGGATAGAAGAGTCATCCTGTGGGAGTTAGATGTTCATTCATCCTCCGAGCTCCTGAGAGCAGACTTGTAGGAGATAATATTTGCATCATAACCACTGCCAGTTACATTACCATTATCATTTAGCATTTGCTAAAGTGTCCATAGGATGTCTGTTGCTACACATGACCCGAAAAAAACAGACCAGGGCAATGGAAGGCTCTTGGATGAGTTCAGAAGGTCTGGGTCCATAAGCCTCAGAAGGGAAGGCCTATGCCATTCATCCCCAGTTCTGGAAGACCCTTCCCAGAGACAAGTCATTTCCTTCATCCCACAGGTTTCTTCTAGCTCTTTTCCTTAAGGTGACTTACATAAGACTGTCCCAGAAGATACTTCTAGAGCACTGCCAATATTTTTTCCATCTAGTAGTTTGTAGATTATCTTAGGGTTGGCTCAGCGTTGTGCATGTTGCCATGTATGTTTCATATTTGTGGACCTGTCCCATAGCTGAGTTTAGGAAGTTGTGGAGCCCGGCTGACTGGGCTGAATGGGGCTGCCATTTAGAACTAAAATTTAGGACTAGCCTTATTTCTAATTTTCCCCTAACATGTATTCTCTATGGTCTCAGCAAACCAGACTGTAGAAGCACTCATTTCCATAGGATCCTATTTTTGTATCACTAGCTAAAAACCTCTAGCCTTTTAAATTATTCATGAAACTCATTTCTAGAACACTGTAATTTGAACTCAGAAAATTGGTTGGTGTGGAAGTCAAGAGCTCAGAGTTCTAAATGCTGGCTCTGCCATAACTAGTTTTGAGAGTTGGGCAAGTTATAACTTCTCTGAGTTTCAGTTTTTTCATAAAGAAAATAAGAGGGGAAACTGAGCTGAGTGATCTCAGAAGTCCTTTCTAATTGTTCTATTCATTTATGAAACCTCCACCCTGAGGCCTCATTCTCCTGATGTTAAGATTCATTCTCTTGACTTCTCCACATCCTCTCCTCCCTCCTGTTCCTCTGCCCTTCCCTGCTATGCTTACCAACTCCATTCCATAACCTGGCTCTTCCATCCCTTCCCAGTCTTCTTACACCTTACTCCCCTTCATCCACTCCAGGTTTCTGATCCTCACACCCAACACGCCCAATTCTGAACATTTTCACTGGCTGCCTCCATGCCTGGAATCCTCTCCCTCCTCATCTCTCCTGGCTTCAAGTTCCAGCTAAAACCCCACCTTCTACAAGAAGCCTTTCATTGTCCACAGTAGTGCTAATAATGTCTACCCTCTGGGATTATTTCCAATTTATCTTGAATATAAATTGTATGTAGATAGCTGTTTTCATGGTACCCGTGCCCCTCCAATCAGACTGTGAGTACTCTGAAGGGAGGGACTGTTATTTTTGCCTTTCTTTGTATCCTCAATGCTTAAAACAGTGCCTGACCCATTGTAGGCGCTTAAATAATTGCTGCCTTGTCTTCTCTCATTAGAATGTAAGCTTCTTGAGAGTAAGTAATGTTTTGCTTGCTTGTTCTTCCATGGGGCATTGAGTAGTACAGTTCCTGGAAAACAGCAAGTGCTCTATCTATCTATGAAAATGAACAAAGACCAATATGAAAAACTGATGTGTTCTCAAACATTTCCCTTTTAATTTGGGTTGTTTGGCAGGTACACTATTCACCAGGTGACTATTCAGTCTGTAGATTACCCAGGGCTCTGTGCTTTCTCTCTGAATGCCTATTTTCTACTTCATTGCTCATTATAACCTTCAACAGGGAGGATCAGGAAAGCAAAAGGAGATGGAATTTGAGTCAGTCAGTTCTTCGATTACTTGTGAGCAGAGCCTTGTTGGGCAAGGAAGCAGTAGATGCTGGTTCAGGCAAGATGCTTGAACTGCAGGCAAATCCCAAATTTGCTGTACAAATCCCATTACCAAGTATACTGTAATTCCAACATTACTTCTGTGTCCCAACAGATGGCCCATTAAAAACCAGTGTTCCTTCTGCTGGCCTTGTTGCAACACATAACTGGATACAAGTACCCTCCCAGGTCTGTTTTCCTGTAGCAGTCGATTACCAAGACAAAGGGTAGCTAACTGATGGGATGCAGGTACGGGAAATTGTGAAAAGTTATTTTACAGTAATTATCCTTCAATTCTGTGAGCCCCTCTTCCTAAATCCCAAACCACCTACGTAAAACCCACCTTATCTCTCAAAATGCATCCCTCTACTCAACTCTCTCTCCCAGAAATAAATACCATGCAAAAAGATCCAGAATTAACAGGGGTGAGGGTGGTACATGTATAACCTCTGCCTCCTGGCTCCCTAACCTCAGAGCACTTGCTAAGTCAAGACAAAGAAGCTGAGGGCCCCCTTTGTTTCATCTCTAGACCTTGGAGTTTGGGAATGTGATTTATAACAGTATTCTAAGCTCCACTGTGATACAATAGTTTGAGAATAGCAAGGCATTTGGGAAGATTCCATTTAGCCCAAGGAGCTGACTCTATAAAATGGCCAACAGGATTCCAGACTCTATTAATGAGCATCTCCTGAGAATGAATGAGCCCCGTTCCATCCTCAGACCTCCCAATAGCACTTTTACTTTTTAATGTGCTATTACTCTGGGGTAGGCAGAAATGTTCAAACTTTGGGGTCTCAGGACCCCTCTACAATCTTGAAAATTATTGAAGACCACCCTTCTCCCCCAAAGAGCTTTTACTTATGTGGGCTATATCTATTGACACATACTATATTAGAAATTTCAGGGTAGCTAGGTAGTGCAGTGGCTAGTGTACTGGGTCTGGAGTCAGGAAAACTCATCTTCCTGACTTCAAATCTGACCTAAGGCAGTTATTAGCCGTGTGACCCTGGGCAAGTCACTTAACTCTGTTTGCCTTCGTTTCCTCACCCGGAAAATGAACTGGAGAAGGAAATGGCAAATCAATCTAGTATCTTTGCCCCCCCCCCAAAAAAAACCAAAAAACCAAAACCCTCAAATGGGATCACAAAGAGTTGGACATGACTAAAAATGATTAAACAACAACATATTAGAAATTTTAAAATCTTAAAATTATTATGGAGTGTTTACCTCTATCTCAGCTTTCCTTCTAGATTGTAAACTCTCTGAGGACAGGGACACAATATTATCATTCAACTGTGTGTCCTCCCCCAGCACCTAGTGCCCAACATATTCCCAGGATCGATTTATTGACTTACAGTGAGTGAATTTTTCCATTTTCCTACCAAATACAGTTTGAAAACTCATACTTGTTTTCTCTGGCAACACTAAGAGCTCACCTGTGTTGAGAACTTGGATGCCAATTGGGCCAGATTCCTCCTCGGTCAGTCGATACCACTCTTTCTGAGGGTTGGACAACCATTCTTCCACTCGGCAGGAGTAGTTGCCCGTATCACTGGGATCTGCTTGTAAGACCGTCAGCCGGTAGAGCATGGGCGAAAGTCTCTGGAAGCGGAGCCTGCCCTCCCAGTGATTTCCCTCAGGGCCAAAGATGGCATCTGGGCCCACACTTAGCATGGCCTTCCGCTCTATCTCCTCATCCTCCAGTGTGCTGCCTTTCTTTCCTCCTGCTTTAGTCCTGAGAGCATACCAGGCAACTGCAAAGCGGGATTCCTGACTCGAACGCGATAAGATGTTGCAATCCAGTTGGAAATGGGACTTCTCTGGCACAGTGACATTGGGCACAATGGTGTCCACTTGCAGTGTGGCATCTGGAGGGTGGGGGGAATTGGGAAAGAAAGAGTACAAAAAGAAGACTCATTAATACCTTTGCTTGAGCAGAGTGAACAATGGGAAATGAGCTACTCCTCCCCAAGTATCCATGACCAAAGGATAGGCTGCTGAGCATTAGAACAATATAGCCTGTCCCAGCCCCATCCCTATATAGACATTCTATCTAGACTTTGGTCTGAACCTCATCAGCCAACACTCCTACCCTAATCCAAGAGTGGCAGACCTACAACGGATGCTGAGAGGTGCTCTAGTCAGGTGACTTACCATCACACACAGCTTGTCTCATCCCCGGCCTGACTGTTTAAAAGTAATACTAATTAGGCTCCTTTGGGCATAGGATGGGTAGACAAGGATGGGGGTGTAATCTGTAACAAGGAAGCGGATTTCCCAATTGAGGAGATCACAGATCCAATGGAGAAGTGGGTGGTTATAAATAAGATCAAAAATTCATTTCCAAGGCCCTGTGAAAGACTTATTTTGTAGTTCTGTTCTCCATCACACACTTGTGCAAAGTATCCCAGAATTGAAAGTCCTAATAATAAATTAATTGAAATTAATAATAATAATAATGGGTTTTTAAAAGATATTTTAGATTAGCACCAAATGGTAGTATTTCTCCAATTATTATCTTAAGTTTTAAACATATTGACTATTGTAGATCTTGGATGGACACAAAGCCAGGGTTCCTAGGGTTTGCATGAGATTATGCTCCAACCCTCCAAATCCCTCAG